GGTACACACCGGGTACACATCTGGTAATTATGGATAATGTACCTGATACACACCTGGTACACATCTGGTAATTATGGATAATGTACCTGATACACATCTGGTAATTATGGATAATGTACCTGATACACACCTGGTATTTATGGATAATGTACCTGATACACACCTGGCACACACCTGGTATTTATGGATAATGTATCTGGTACACACCGGGTACACATCTGGTAATTATGGATAATGTACCTGATACACACCTGGTACACATCTGGTACTTGTGGACAATGTACCTGATACACACCTGATACACATCTGGTACATTATATTGGGTACATAGTGGGTTAGTTTGTGGTACTTGTAGTACTGTATCCCAGACTGTATCATATGTTGCTGTGATTAGAGCTGCCCTTCTCTCAACTTTAAATAAATGATTATTTTCTAACATTTTAAACCAGTTGCAGAGTCTTTTTAAAAACGTTGTACAGTTTGTTGATGTGTGTTTGTTGTGTTTTGACTGTAAAATGTTTTCTCTCAGCTCACAGAGCGGCTGACTAGTTTAGCTGAGGAGAGTCACAACATCCAGATGAAGAAACTCAAAGACATCTGTGACAAGTAAGTACCTCCTGTACTTTTACACAGGTTCAAATTATAACCAGAACAAGAACAGAGATACTCGGATACTTCTGTTCTTTCACCTTGTTTTTACTCTGCACACAGACAGCTGTGTTTGCTCTGTGTGCAGAGGAAGAGAGGAGTGCAAAGTCAAACCCCAAACCAGAAATGATCAAACTGTAATAATTACAAAAGCTGCACTGCTCAAAATAAATGACATCATTTAGAAGAAAACACATTTTCATGATAATAAACTCAAACAGCTGATCTGGGACCTGTTAGCATTTCATCTGTGTCCAGATCCAGACTTCAGTCGGCCTTTTGGGAACACTTATTTGATAAAATTCACTCAGAAATCTGCATATTATGAAGCAAGACTCCTGTCAGAAATGTCAGTATTTTTTTTCAATAAACTGCATCATCATGCCTCTTCTTGCTGCTGCAGGGAGAAGAAGGAACTGAAGAGGCAGATGGATCGAAGGAGAACTGAGAAGATCAACCAAGCAAAGACTAAAGAGAAACACCTGGCAGAGGAGTAAGAGCAGTGAAAACAAAGACCGACAGTTGTTTTCAGACACCTGCTGTAACTTCTGTAACTAGGATGTCTGCTTCTCCGTGTCTCAGGGAGAAAATCGAGATCAATAAGTCCTACGTCAACGAAGTGGTCCAGAACATAAAGCGGGTGAGAGGCAGAGGAGGAGTCTGGATGAAAGCAGTTTTAGTGTTTTTGTTGTTTAAAGTGTTTGTCTTCAGCTGGAGGAGACTCAGGCGAAGCGTCACGATCAGATGGTGGAGCAGCACAATGACCTCCTGCAGGAGATACAGGAGCAGAAACCAAAGGTGAGAACTGTCCACATGGTGACAGCAGCACGTTCTCTTCCCTGACGTTAAGTGTTGAAGTGATGCAGTGTCAGTTTGATCAGGTCACAGTCCAAATCTGTTTTTTTCTCTCAGTGGAAATGAATTTTACAGTAATAAAGACTAAAAACACGAGATCTGACAGCTTGTAGGATCAGTGTGTTAGTTTGTTTACAGTGTCCTGTTATTGGGTTTATTTAGATTTTATGATCCTGTGTTCATGTGTGCCACCACTCCTTCACTCTCACCTTTTATTCAGTCAGGTGTCTCCTCCTATCAGCAGCATCCTTATTGGCCGTTTTTCCTAAATGCTCCAGAATCTCTCTGCATGAAACTCCCCTCAAAACGACAGAAAGAAGGAGCTACTGTGGTCATCTATGTCCAGCTGCCATCATGAGCTCAGACACCTTCCAGAGTGGTTAGACGTGCTGAAGTGCCCAGTACATCCAGAGAAATAATCCTCCCAATTCTTCAAGAACAAGATGCAATAACAAGATAAGAGCAGATAAAAGAATCAACTCTTCTGACACATTTAACAGCCTGATGGCAACAGGAACAAAACGGGTTAAAAACATCTGGATTCACAGTCCTGAGAGGCCAGAACTCACAGAGCAGAGGATGAGACCGGTCCTGGTTACCTGCCTGGACCTCATCTCTCCCATCAGCTCACTGGAACACTTCACTGCTTCAAACAGCTCTTGTTTTTATAAGAAAGGTTGCAGAACCAGGACACTAATCAGGAAGATGAAACCGATTCAAAGATCAGTAAAACCAGGTCAGTAGAGTTTTGTCCAAATAAAAGGAAAATAAAACAAATGATGGTTCCGTGTTTTCTCCACAGTTTCACATTTTGCTCCAAAAGTCAATAAGCTTCAACATGTAATCAAAAGAAAAAGATCACAAATCAATGACCGTTGGTACCTGTCCCTAACTTAAAACAAAAAGAAAACCTGTCGTTTGATCATACAACAAAACAACCTGTAAGACTGTATAAATTAGCTTTTTAGCTTTAGCGTTAGCCCCGATGCTATCACCATACATATGTATTAGCTCAGCGCTACACATTCACCTCACTGAGGTCCTCCATCCACATGACAGAGAGGGGAACGCAAAAATGACTCAGTCTGCAACTGAAAATATGGATGGAGGACCTCAGTTTAGCCTGTTTGATGCGCTAGCGCCGAGCTAATACATATAAGGCAATATAGCTAATTTCCCTCTGGGATCAATAAAGTATTTTTGAATTTGAATTGAATATAGTTTGAGGGCTAGCGTGAAGGCTAACAGGCTAAGCTGAGGTTCTTCTTCCATGAAGCAGCTCTGTTGTCCTCCAT